AGCCACAAGTAGCCCCCTCTCCTCATATTTACAAACCACACCAAAATTCCTTGTTCTCCCCATCGAGGAGTGGCTTTGACTCCTGCAGTGACCAACTGTCAGGAAACCAGGGGGTGAGTCAATCACAGCCAGGGTTTTTTTCCCCATTTATTTTCTTTGGTGAAGCCTGAGGGGAATGCTACTCTCAGGAAGCCCATAGAATGCAAAATACACTGGGAAAGAAATGATATTAATTCAGTATTGAGCACCATGCAAGGAGCTTCCCCTCAGGTGTTGCCCCACTGTGGAGAGCTGGGAGAGCTGAAGAAGTTCCTACAAGCTCCAGTCTGAAAAGGGCTGGTTTGTGTAGTAATTCAATGCCATCTAATTTGCTGGCTCAGGCTCACCTGTTGAGTAACCCCTCCCTCCATGAGCTGTTCTCCAGGATTCCATGGGAGAGGAGGTTCCAAAATGGTCCTTTATGGACAGCACGGTCCAGGTGTGTGAGAAGGAGCCAGGACCTGGGACTTGCTGTGTATCTTTGTGACCTCACCTGAGATATTGGGGCAGTTTGGGGGGACACAATGGAAGGAAGAGATTGAGCCATTGGAGAGTGTCCAAAGGAGGGCAGAGAGATGGGGAAGGGCCTGGATTTGAAGGCGTGTGAGGACACTGAGGGCACTTGGTGTGTTGAGCTGGAGCAGAGCAGACTGAGGGGAGACCTCAGTGCAGTTCCAACTGCCTGGGCAGGGGCAGAGGAGGGGCAGGACTGAGCTCTGCTCTGGGGGAGCAGGGACAGCCCCCAGGGAATGGCTGGAGCTGTGTCAGGGCAGGCTCAGCTTGGATCTCAGAGGGTGGTTGGGCACTGAACAGGCTCCCCAGGGCAGTGGGCACAGCCCCAAGGCTGCCAGGAGGCTCCAGGCTGATGCTCTGGGGCACATGGGATGATTTTTGGGGTGCAGGGCTGAGGGTTGGACTGGATTTTCCTTGTGGATCCCTTCCAGCTCAGCACATTCCAGGATTCTGTGAAATATGAAAAGTGCTGGGACAAACCTTTTTCCACCTCAGTGATTGATTTAGGTCTGTTTTTCTCTAAAATCACTGCTGTGTTACCATGCTGTGAATTTTGCTCCTCAGGTGCAGCTGAGGCCCTGCCTGCAGTGGGTTCATGGGGTGTGTTTGCACAGGGCTTGTTGAGCTGTGTGTGGTGAGCCAGACTCCTACACATGCAAAACATCACCTCCATCACCTGGGCTGTGTGTGCATCCATGGACTGTGTGTGTATCCATGGGCTGTGTGTGCATCCATGGGCTGTGTGTGCATCCATGGGCTGTGTGTGCATCCATGGGCTGTGTGTGCATCCATGGAGTGGTGTGTGCATCCATGGGCTGTGTGTGCATCCATGGGCTGTGTGTGCATCCATGGGCTGTGTGTGCATCCCTGGGCTGTGTGTGTATCCATAATCTGTGTGTGCATCCATGGGCTGTGTGTGCATCCATGGACTGTGTGTGCATCCATGGGCTGTGTGTGCATCCATAATCTGTGTGTGCATCCATGGGCTGTGTGTGCATCCATGGACTGTGTGTGCATCCATGGACTGTGTGTGCATCCATGGGCTGTGTGTGCATCCATAATCTGTGTGTGCATCCATGGGCTGTGTGTGCATCCATAATCTGTGTGTGCATCCATGGGCTGTGTGTGCATCCATAATCTGTGTGTGCATCCATGGGCTGTGTGTGTATCCATGGGCTGTGTGTGCATCCATGGAGTGGTGTGTGTATCCATAATCTATGTGCGCATCCATGGGCTGTGTGTGCATCCATGGGCTGTGTGTGTGCATCCATGGGCTGTGTGTGCATCCATAGTCTGTGTGTGCATCCATGGAGTGGTGTGTGTATCCATAATCTATGTGTGCATCCATGGGCTGTGTGTGCATCCATAATCTGTGTGTGCATCCATGGAGTGGTGTGTGTATCCATGGGCTGTGTGTGCATCCATGGGCTGTGTGTGCATCCATGGGCTGTGTGTGCATCCATAATCTGTGTGTGCATCCACAGAGGAAAGGCAAGGCTTTCCTGAGGACAAACTCAGCCCTAAGTCTGGGGAGGGTCAAGGGGAGCCTTTTTCAGCTGAGCTTTACAAAGCCTGAGGGCAGGCCTGTGGTGTTGCCTGGTTCCCCACTGACTCACCCTGCAATCATGAGCTTGAGCAGGAGTCATAAACTCCAGCTGAACTGGAGTTGTCCCTTTCCTTCTTTTGTTTTTTTTTTTTCCACTCCTGTGGTTTGAAACTCTGTAGAAACATTTAGGAAGGTTTCTCAACACATGAGTTTAACCAAAGTCTCTGCAGGGGAACACAGGGAAAGGCAATTCCTGCCTGGGCTGCGTGCAAGGCACGTTGCCTTGGATGGGATCACCAGCCCTCCAAGAACTGCCTTCCCACTCTGGCTTTGGCAGGTCTGGAGTGTTCAATCCAGATGAATTTTGAAAGAATCCTTGTGCAGGAGTGGTTTTGAAATATTAAAGGATTGCTTTCTTGCACTTGGGAGGGTGTGAGAAGGGTCAGCAGCAGGGAGGAGGTGTGGTGGTGATGCTCAGAATCCCTCCTCACAGCCACAGGGGTTGAACAGTTCTGGAGGGTCACCTTAGACATTGCTAAAGAAAGTGCTTTTCTGGAGTTTTATTTGCAAGAAAACAGGATTAGTTTTATTCCAAATATGTATTTATTATATATTTAATTTATTATATTTATTTTTATATAGTAATTCTATTATAATATTTATATATTGTAATTATACTTAACAGATTTGTTATATATAAACAAAATATTATTCATTAAATATATAAATATATTATATATTTATTATATGACAACCCTTGACGAACATGGGAGTGTGTTGGCATCCCCTGCCTGTCTACAGGAGCCTGGATTTAAATCCCAGTTGGGCTTACTGGTGGAAATGGAGTAGCCATGAGCTGGTCCAGGAGCATCTGTGTGAGTGCTGGGTCTGCCTGGATGGGGAAAAACTGAGTTTTAACTTCCAAGGAAGGCTGGAACTGCCTTGTGACGTGTGGTTTGTGAGTGTGAGCAGGATGGAGGGAGCTCTGGTGGTGCCTTTCTGCTGCTGCTGCTCCTCAGCCTGCACAGGGCTCGCTGCTTTATTTCCCCTTCTAGCTCTGATGGGGATATTTCTGGGAATATTTAGCTCGTAAATATGCAGATTTTGCAACAGTTTCCCTGTTCCGACTCAAAGGCTTTTCTGGAAAGCCTCTTTGAAGTTATGAAATTCATTAATTAACCCTTGCTGGCTGAGTGCAGGGTTGGGTTTGTTCATCTGATTTCCTCACGGGTCACCCTTTGCTGGAAGGGTGAGGAGGAAAAGTGGCTGAAACCACGTGGGGGCCAAGTAAAAGTGAATAAGCACAGCATTCCATCACTCAATCCCAGACTTTTTAATGAGCAGGGAAAGTCTCCTGGATGTCTTCCCAGCTGTTCCTGGTTAGATGGATCCCTGTTTATCTCCGTGGGTCTCTCCCTTCCCGTGGTATCCGTGGGCCCCACAGACATTCATGGATGACTCACACCACATCTGGGGAAGGAGGAAGTGTCCCCTTTTTTAGCAGCAGGGACTCACACAGACCGTAAATGAGGTGACTTGCCCAGTTTCACACAGGAAATGTGTAACCAAAGTGGGAATTGAACCCAGGTCACTTGAATTTAGCACTGGATTGTCGTCCCTCCCCCCGGCAAGGCCACGGCAGCTCAGCAGATGTTGCACGTGTTTGAGTCAAACACATGAATCAGAGTGCTTTGAGTTGGAAGCACCTTAAAGCCCATCTCATTCCACCCCTGCCATGGGCAGGGACACCTTCCACCAGCCCAGGTTGCTCCAAGCCCCATCCAACCTGGCCTTGGACACTTCCAGGGATCCAGGGGCAGCCACAGCTTCTCTGCCCAACCTGTGCCAGGGCCTGCCCACCCTCACAGCCAACAATTCCTTCCCAATATCCCATCTCTCCCTGCCCTCTGGCAGTGGGAAGCCATTCCCTGTGTCCTGTCCCTCCATGCCTTGTCCCCAGTCCCTCTCCAGCTCTCCTGGAGCCCCTTTAGGCCCTGCAAGGGGCTCTCAGGTCTCCCTGGAGCCTTCTCTTCTCAAGAGAAACCCCCCAGCTCTCCCAGCCGTCTTCACAGGAGAGTTGTTAGGAGGTGTTTGTTGGTTGTGTTGGGAGGTGTTAGTTGTTAGTTGTTAGTCTTTTTAAGAGGTTTGTGAAAGGTAAATGTGGCACAACTGAGTGACTTACTTAAAACTGAAGGTGCCCTAAATGCAAAACTCGAGACCAAGTAGGAGCTTTGGAGGAAGGGCTGCAGCCCCTGGGTGCTGATCTGGACACCCAGTCCCTGAGCAGACCTGAAACCTGTGCCAGGGTGTGGAGCTTTCACTTTGTCTGTGCTGCACCTGCCTGTGCTGACACCAGCCAGGCTCTGCTCCCCTTGCAGCCTGGGCCAGGAGGAGGGACACTGCTCCAGGAGAAAACCAGGGTCCAGGAGGGGGAATACCTGGTTCAGGAGTTACCTGGTCCAGGGGGAGAAAAACCTGCCCCAGGAGGAGGGATACCTGCTCCAGGAGAAAAACAGGGTCCAGGAGAAGAGGCACGTGGTCCAGGAGGAGAAAAACCTGGTCCAGGAGAGGGAATATCTGGTCCAGGAGAAAAACCTGTTCCAGGAGGAGAAAAACCTGATCCAGGAAGAGAGAGACCTGATCCAGGGGAAGGAATAGCTGGTCCAGGAGGGGGAACATCCCCCAGAGATGTGTTTTCTGGGAGCATTCACGTCACCATCAGGGTAAACACACTGAGGGAGGTCCCCGAGGGCTCTCCAGCTGTTGAGGCTGAGTTTGTGTTGCTGTTTTGGTTACCAGGCAATCCTCCCCATCAGGGCACCTGCTCTAAGTCCTGTGTGCTCACTGCTGAGATGGCCTTTTAATGCACACACCATATTCCAACGTGCTCTTTCTTTTCCAGACTGAACTAAACCGTGGGCAAATAAAAGAGAGAGACCCTCAAAATTCCAGACTCCCAAGTCCACTGTGAGTAATCTCTGTTTTTTCCCTCATGCCTTACCCTGGCTGTGCTCACTGCCCTTTGCAGTGGATTCCACCTGGGAACAGGACTTGCTTTTCTGTTTGTCCACTTTACTTCGCTGTTTCTCCAATAGATTTGAGAAACTTTTGCCTTGTGGGTGCTGCAGAAGCATTTTCATGTTACTGAGTAGAGTTACAAGAGGTAATCAGAGGAGATCTGCTGCTGCTACTACTGCTGCTGCCTGCTCTTTGCATTGTAAATCCCTCTCAGTCATCAGTCACTTTATTTATGGGCACTGCCCTTTTGTTCAAAGCTAATTTGGGATCTGGTTGCAAAGACCATGACCCCCAGGTAGCAGCAAACCCTACACCCTGTGCTTGGCCCAGCACCTCATCTGCTTTTAGGCATGGACTTGCAGGTTTTTTGCAAGGAGACTGTGAGCTACTGACAAAAGGGATGTGTTTTCCCACAGATGTGTCTCTCCAGATTGATTTAAATCAAAAAGGGGTAAATGCTGAATGTGGTTTTTCCACAGCCAGGATGTTTCATTGGCTGCCAGTAAAGGAGGAGCTGTACCTGTCCCTCAGCAAGAATTTGTGCTGTGCTGAGTTCACTGCATAAGTGAGATTTTAAAGTATATTTAACATAGATTTAATTATATATATATATATCATATTTAACACGTGTCAGATATGTTGGCCATCGGTTAAATTTGTCTAAAATTTGACTTAAAAGTTATCATGGACAATAAACAGGGTAGATTTTCTAGTAACACACCACGTAAGCCTTAACACCAGGTTAAAATTGGGTGTGCAGAGGAAAATGCTGTTATGGTTGGAATGGGCAGAAATGGCAGAGCCTAAAGAGCTTCCCACTAATCCCACGGGATCTTGATCTGGCTGGGACAGGCCCAGGCAGCAGAAAATCCCTCCATTTGCTTGAGTGTCACATACAAGAGGATTTTGCCACCAGCAAGATTTAAGGATCCCCAGTAATGAGGTGTTTCAGGGTCCTGGAAACAAAAGGCAAGTGAGAGAAAGCCAAGCAGCTGCAGTTTTCCACATGTCACTTGAAAGGAATGAATTCTGGAGGCCAAGCAGAGTGTAGAGAAAGCCCTGATGTCTTTTCAGCGCCGTTCCCACCTGGAGCTCAGGTGTCAGGCACAGCCTCTTCCCATTTATCGGGATCTCAATCCCAAATCTGATGGGAAAGAGCTTGTTTGGGGGCATGGCTGCATAAATGTGGTGATAGTCCCAGGCAGAGGGAGCAGCCTAAGGTTTGGCAGTGGTTAGGAGAACTCCTTTAGGAGGGCTTGGGTGAGGATTAGGACTGGGAAGGACAATTTCAGCTGTAATAAAGGAATTCAGAACACCAGCAGCTGTGACTTTCTGAAAGAGCATTTTTCTGAGCATTCCTCCAAGCATTTTATCTCAGTGCTTGGGGGAAAAATTCTGGTCCCATTAAAATCAGAAGTCATTCTGTCACTGATTCCTTCCATCAGGGGGGCAGCCTTTGTCTTCTCACCCTGGGTGGAACAGGCGCTCCTGGGCCTGTTCGCTCCACTGCATTTCAAGGGAAACCCTAAGAAATGAGGTTGGAATGGAAATAAGAGCTGGAATCCCCCAGTTTTAGTGCCTGTGCTTTGGATTCAGCCACAGACATGCAATGGGAGCAGCTGGAAAGCATGTGCCATGTAAGCCATGGGACTTGTTCCTTAAAGCTTTGCTGTCGTCGTGCCAGTGCCGTGCACGGGCTGGAGCTCTGCTGCTTACTGAGAGAGCAGAGCAGAGCACGTGGTAAGGAAAGGGAGAGCAAAAAGGAGCGTGGAACTGTAGAATCACAGAGTTTCTTGAGTTGGAAGGCACCCACAAGAGTCATCCAGTCCAACTCCCTGGCCCTGCACAGACATCCCAACAATCCAACCCTGTCCCTCAGAGCGTTGTCCAAAGCCTCCTGCAGCTCTGGCAGCCTTGGGGCTGTGCCCACTGCCCTGGGGAGCCTGTTCAGTGCCCAACCAGCCTGTGGGGGAAGAACCTTTCCCTGAGATCCACCCTGAGCCTGCCCTGACACAGCTCCAGCCATTCCCTGGGGGCTGTCCCTGCTCCCCCAGAGCAGAGATTGGAGCTGCAGCCCCCACTGAGCTCTGCCCTCAGTCCCCTCTTCACCAAGTGCTCAAGCAGAAACAGAACACGTGGCAGAGAAGAAACTGCAGGTCATGAGGAGGAGGTGAAAGTAAAACCAAAAGATGGGCCTTTTCTGAGAAAAGGGGGGAGAATCAGGAAGGCAGAATAAATATTAGCAGGCTGAAGTCTGATGAGAGACTTTGAGGTGAAGAGAACAGAAACTGGAAGAAAAATGAGGAAGAAAAAGAAGAGTAGGTTTTTCCAGCCGTTAGTCCCGTTGGCTTTCCAGGAGGAGCCAGCAGGAAGCTGCCTGTGAGCTCTGGGGAGAGCTGGCCATGCCAGCCCTGTGCTCTCTGCCAGCTGGAGGGATGTCCCAGGAACAGGGAGAGCAGCAGGAACCACATCCCTGATCTGATGGAGTGCAGTGAGAGTTACAAGAGCTACTCTGGGTTGTATCTGAGCTGGGCAGGGCATCTTCAACCAGCTTTTTGGGAGCTTCTTCCCTTCCTCTACCACACCCCAGAGTGGAGAAACCCTCCTGGGCTTCATCTTTTCTGCCACTTCGTGTTGCACTGTCCAATTTTCCTTGGAGGAGCATCAACCCGGATTAACTGCATCCAGCCAGGGGAGTTATCCTTTGCCACTGCCATTCCAGGAGTCTCATTTCCAGTAAGGGAAAAAAAAACCTGTCCAAAGTGGCCTGAAGTGCCCTGGAATGGCTCTGCTCGCTGCTGGAGGCAGCAGGTGGGATTGTTTGTTGACCAGTTCTTGGCTTGTTAACTTTTCTGCAGAGTTCCTGCACAGTCAGTCCTGTGCCCATCAGGTGGGCTGAGCATTTGGGTGACACTGAATCATCTCCAGAAACTTCCTTGCAACACTGATTAATGCCCACCCAGGAGCTGATATGGAGCCTGCAGGGGAAAACATTGGCATTAAGATATTTTTCAGGCTCTCTGGAGTTGGGAGTTCTGGCCATGTGAGTGTTTGAGCTCATGGGAAGCAGCTTTCACTCTGTGCTCGCTGAAAAAGCCTCTGCTAAATCCACTCGTGCAAAGTGCGTGTCGTGAGTGGGGCAAAGAACAGCAGCTGGGGCAAAAATCAACATCATAAACCTGCTCCACAGTGTCTTTGATCTTGAGTTAGTGCTGTGCTGGGAGTGCAGTGCTCTAAGTCCAGCCCAGACCATGTTAGTCAGCACTGAGGAGTCAAAACTTAAACAGGGGATTCAAAATGTAATTAATTCCTCCTCAGAGCAGTGAGCCCAAAAACATGAGGCACTTTCTCAGCAAGTCAGGGCAAGAGCAGGTGCTCTGCAGGTCCTGGGAAGATGTGAAGCTCATGCTGGAGGGGAGCAGAGCCTGTGTTTGGGGAAAAGGAGGTGAAGTTTAAGGGTAGGACTGATTTTCTGTCCAGTTCCCTAAATCTGGGCGTCACAACTGTCCAGGAAGAGAAGCCACCAATCCAGTCAGTCAGAGATGGGATCTCAGGGCAAAAAAACATCTCCCAAAACTGAGACCTTAATGTGGGGGGCATTGCCCCTGTTTTGTCCCTCATTGGCACCTGCCTGTGTCAGGGATGGTGCAGGGGGTTGTGTCTAAGGACTTGGACCCTGACTTTTGGCCATCTGAGGTGAGCTGGCTAAAGAACAGACAGCTTTTGGACAGTCTCGTGAAGCCTTGTTGGTCATGATGTGTCCCAGGGTGCTGCTGTATCTTTAGACTCTGCTAAATTGAACTAAATCACCCTATACCCCATGTCCCTTTTCTCATGGGGCTGTGGGGAGTATAAATTAAATTATGTCACCTTACACCCCTTTCTCTTTTGTCGTGGAGTGTGGGCAGTGCACAGGGTTGTAGGAATGGGTAAGGAGTGGGGACTCCTGGGAGGACTTTGTGTTGAACCCCACAGCCTCCTCTGCTGGCTCTTCACTGTTGCTCCTCAGGATGAAGCTGGGCCATTGCAGAGCTCAAATCTCAGTCTCAGTGCTGGGCTTGCACTTCAGCCCCACCCAGGCTCCCTCCCCCTGCACAGAGCAGGGTCAGAGCAATTTCCCCTAATTAAACTGTCCTAGCAGGGACTGCACCCTGCGACAGCCAAGAGCTTCCCAGAGGAGGACCAGAGATCTTTTCTCATGGTAAACTACACATATCAATTTTCTTCACTTAAAAAGCACCATTCTTATTTTCCTTAGGAGTATCCCTCTCATTTCTACTCCATCTCTTGGAGATGCTGTTTTGTTCCAGTGCAATCAGAATGTTTCCTCCCTGAGTGTCTCATCATCAGCTGTATTTGCTGACAAGGGTGGTGGGTTTGATGGGTCCCATCCACACTCGTGGTCCCCCTTTAGAAACAGCCAATTTTGATACTCCCCTCTATGAAATATACCCTAGAAATTGGATTTGCACCGTTGTTTGGTGACAAAAGGCAGGAAATTAAAGAGGCAACATTTCAGTAAAAGGCTGTGTGTGCTTCCTCTTTACCTGCTTTTGTTGGAAACGACACTGGAGATTATGTGAGCTCGGGAGAGGATTTTATGCAGCAAAGATTTGCTCGTTTGTCGGTGAATGGATGTGCTGCACAAGGCTTTGGAGTCAGTCAGCGATCCTGGGTACTCAGTTTGGAAGGGAAACATAATTATAAAAACTTTAAACCCCTAAATGTTTGCAGGAGATTAGAAGGAATTCGAGTTTGAAACCCTTTTAATACATTTTTCCAAACTGTCTGTGTTTCAAGTTCCTGTCTTTGGTTACTGCTCAGAGCCAGGTCATGTGTGCATTAAACTGAGTTCCTGAGGTTTGACTGAGTACAATTTACGTTTAGATTGCCCTTAAAAGTAATGTCTCGTGAATGGGAGACATTCTGAATTATTTTTGTGCAAAATATTTACTGTTACCCTCCACAGAGTTAGCAGCATTTGATTACTTAAATACAAAAGCTGAAATAATTTTTTTTCTCTGTTTGTTTTTCTTTTGGATGTAATTGCAGAAATGTGGGAAATACTTTTCCAAGGCTTTTGAGCTCAGAAGTGGAACAGAAGGAAGACACAGGGGGACATACACCGTTCAGTGTTATTTTCCTTGCACAGGAAAAAAAAAAAAGAAAAAGAAAAAGAAAAGAAAAAGATCCTTATGAGATGAGCACTGAAGTCTCAAGTTTTCAAAGGTTTGCATAACAAACAAGAGACACATTGTGGGTTGCATCTTGACTTTGAAGGCTTGCCACTGTCAACTGAAATAAAATGGCAAGGTTTAAAGCCTTAACCAAGTTCACAAGGAAAATATTTGGACTAAAAGTTTTGGAAAGTTTTCTCTCTTTGAAGTAGTTTGTCATGTGTTACCAATGTGAACTTTATTGACCTTGAAACATTTTTTTTTTTAATCAAATAGCAACTAGTGACACTTTAGTAAAATCTTAAATCAACAACCATCTCCTGGCGGCTCCAGCTCCGTAGCAAATGCAGGCAAAACAGGGAATCTACAGAGGAGACCTTTATTATTCGTAAATGAAGCCTGCCAAACCCTTCCCAAAATAGCATTCAGAGACCCTTTTAAGGTCATGGATCCTGAACAAAGCCAGAAGAGCACAAAAAAGGCTGAGGAAAGTCCAAGAAAGAGGCTTCCCAAAGGAGAGGCTTTCCAAGCCAGTATTTCATCCACAACTACGTACCAGGGCAGCTCTGCTCCTTCCCAAGGAACCCCTCTCCGAGATATCATACCGCAGCAGCACTTTTCTGGCCCTCTGCCCCTTCCAAGAGAGGAGTCTCAGGAGAAGACTGGACATCAGAAGCAACCCAAGCCTTCCTCTTTCGAACACCCCCCCCACATCTCGCAGCTTCATCAGCACGCACTGTCACCAGCATTTATGTCTCCGGGGAAGCCAGAGCATGTCCTCGAGGGTCCCACGTGGCAGCTAGTTGATCCAGTGAGACCAGGGCCCTCTGGCTCCTTTCCATCACCCGGGCTTCACTCTCACCACGGCCAGCTCCTGCCTTCCCACTCGCAGATCATTCCTGCAGAGGACATGCCGTCCGTTCAGAAGGTCTACATCCCTCGCCCTTCCCAGGTTTCCTTAAAACAGGCCGAGGAGGTGCACAAGAAGGAAAAGAAACCCCAAAAGCCAGGCAAGTACATCTGCCAGTACTGCAGCAGGCCCTGTGCGAAGCCCAGCGTGCTCCAGAAGCACATCAGGTCGCACACGGGCGAGAGGCCGTACCCTTGCATTCCATGTGGCTTTTCCTTCAAGACGAAGAGCAATTTGTACAAACACCGGAAATCTCACGCTCATCGCATAAAAGCTGGGCTGGCCTCAGGGATCGGAGCGGAGATGTATCCATCGAGCCTGGAAATGGAGAGGATCGGCGGGGAGGACTTCGAGGAGCCGACGGAAGGGGAAAGCACGGACTCGGAGGAGGAGACGGGCGCGATGTCGGGGCACTCGGTGGAGCTCTCCCCCAGGCAGAAGCACAGCCTGCTGTCCAGCGGCTTGCTGAGCACGGGGAGCCAAGGCTCCAGCCACGACCGGTGCTCCCTGTCCCATTCCAGCATGTCCCAGTCCCTGGAGGACAGCAGCCAGTTCGTGGAGCCCTCGTCGGACCACGCCCTGAGCCATAAATCCGAGGACACCCACACCATCAAGCAGAAACTCGCGCTGCGCCTGAGCGAGAGGAAGAAGGTGATAGATGAGCAGGCCTTCCTGAGCCCCGGCAGCAAAGGCAGCACCGAGTCCGGGTACTTCTCCAGGTCAGAGAGCGCAGAGCAGCAGATCAGCCCCCCAAACACCAACGCCAAGTCTTATGCAGAGATTATTTTTGGGAAGTGTGGGAGAATCGGGCAGAGGACGGCGGCGTTGGCTGCCAACACCACCCAGGGGTTTCCACACCTGTCCACGGATGAGAAGCCCAGCATGGTCCCGTTGTCTGTGCCTAGAACACAGGTGATTGAACACATCACTAAGCTAATTACAATTAACGAAGCTGTTGTAGATACCAGTGAAATAGATAGCGTTAAGCCTAGAAGAAGCTCTTTATCTAGACGTAGCAGCATTGAATCTCCAAAGTCTGGTGTATATAGAGAACCGTTCCAGTTCGATATCAAGTCTGGTTCCAGTAGCCAGTTGGATGCTTCCAAAGTGTTGGCGTCCCACGGTGAAAAAATTAAGCCCGAACAATCATTGTTGTCACTTCAGCAATCCCACAGTGCCACAGAGACAGTGCCTCTCCTAAGAAGCCACTCAATGCCTTCTGCTGCATGCACTATAAGCTCCCCACACACCTTTAGAGGTAGCTACTCATTTGATGATCACATCATGGAGCCTGAAGTCTTAAGCCGCAGTCAAGCGTTTTCTTCTCACCCTCGAACGCTGAAACGACAGCCAGCTATTGAGCTGCCCTTGGGAGTGGAATACGTCTCAGAGGAGGTCGGCTCTGCCAACAAAGAAACTGTTTCCAAACCTCCCGAGGAGCCTGAAACCAAGGAAAGCGATCTTACCAAAAAGTCACGGAAGGGCCCCAAGGTGAAAGGGTTCATGTACGAGTGCAACGTGTGTGGTGCTCGGTACAAGAAAAGGGACAATTATGAAGCCCATAAGAAGTACTACTGCTCAGAGCTGCAGCTCTCCAAGCCTCGCTCTTCCACTTCCCATCCCTCCACAGAGACTGAGAAAGGCTCTGCAGATCCTGACACGTGGCCCCAGATGATGCATTACAAGCTGGGGAGCACTTTGGAGCTCACCCCGCTCCGCAAAAGGCGGAAGGAGAAGAGCCTTGGTGACGACGAGGAGCCTCCAGCGTTTGAGGTGTCTGACACCCCCTCCTCCAGCGCTGGGCCGGGGGCTCAGTTTGCAAACCCGGCGTCATCGGATGTCGCTCTGAACCTGACCCGTGAATCCAAGAAGTCACCAGCAGATCCGGGTAAATCCGCCCCTTCTGACGTCAGTGCCACCTTCCATCCCAGGAACACCAAACCGGGCTCGAGTGGGGAGGGCAAGGAGAGGAGAACAACCTCCAAGGAGATCTCTGTCATCCAGCACACGAGCTCCTTTGAGAAGTCTGACTCCATCGAGCAGGCGAGCAGCTTGGAAGAAGACAAGCCCTTGTCCCAGTTCCCGTCTCAGCCGACCCCCCAGCACAGCCGACCACCCCACTCCCTGCAGCCTCGGCTCGTCCGGCAGCACAACATCCAGGTTCCGGAGATTCTGGTCACAGAAGAGCCTGACAGGCCAGAAACGGAGCCAGAACCTCCTCCAAAAGAGCCAGAGAAAACAGAGGAATTCCAGTGGCCGCAGAGGAGCCAGACCCTCTCCCAGCTCCCTGCGGAGAAACTCCCACCCAAAAAGAAGCGGCTCCGGCTGGCGGAGATGGCTCAGTCCTCCGGGGAGTCCAGCTTTGAGTCCGTGTCTCTCACCCGCAGCCCGAGCCAGGAGAGCAGCGTCTCCCACGGCTCCAGCCACTCCGTCTCCTTCGACCGTGATGATCACGGCAAGCCAGAGCCCACCAGCCAGCCCTCTGAGTCCCACCCAAAGCCTCCTGGCGTTGGCTCACACATGCTGATGGTCCCAAGCCACCATCACCACTCCAGGGAAATGCGGAGATCCGCCTCTGAGCAGACACCCAACGTGTCCCACCCTTCCCAGATGTCGGAGACACGCAGCAAATCGTTCGACTACGGGAGCTTGTCGTCCACTCCTGCCTCAACCCCCGGCCCCTCGAGCTCCTCGGCCTCCCAGGAGAGGAGGAAATGCTTCCTGGTCCGGCAGGCGTCCCTCACCAGGCACCCAGAGCACGACCCAGACCCGGCTCCCACGGGCTGGACAGAGACAGAAGATCCAGCTCCTTCCTCAAGTAAATCTCCTTCCAGCAGTTTGCCCCACCAGCCAAGCTCTTCACCCCCTCTGCCCTCTCACGGGACTTACCCTAGTGAGAAGAGCCAGCCAAAGGACAGCCCTGAGCCCACCTACACCCCGCCCTACACGGAAGCCCTGCAGGTGTTCCACCACCCCGTCCCGCAGCTGACGCTGCACGAAAAGCAGTTCCTGGCCCCACAGGTCTCCATATTCCCCTACCAGCACCTCCTGCCGCAGCCAGGGCAGTCTGCAGAGCTCTTCGCTGCACACACCATGTCTGACATCCTCTCTGCCCAGTTCTCCATGCCCCAGATCCCTCCCTCCATATTCCAGACCCCGCCACTGCCTCTCCCGCAGACGCTCATCCACCCGGGCCCGCTGCACATCGCTCCGCCACTGATGTCTCACCCCGCCGAGGTGTCCTTCAGGCACCCCTCATTCCTGCCTGTGCACTACCCTGGCTCCTCTCCCATCCCCTCAGCCTTTTTTCTGCCTCTCCAGTCTCAGTTCGCTCTCCACTTGCCGGGTGAAGCTGGTGGGCATTTACCGCAGCTCAAATCCAGTTTATTCCCGGCAGCAGGAGCCTCCAGCCTCTCCCCGTGCACGGAGTACGACTCTGACAGCAGGCTGCACCCCCTGACCTGCACCACGAGCCCTTCGGTGTCGGTGACCGTGACCCAGCTGGTCGTCCCCACGCGCTCGGAGCCGATGGTGTCGCTGGTTGTCCCCGTGCGCATCCAGACGAACATGCCGTCCTACGGCAGCGCCATGTACACCACCCTGTCCCAGATCCTGGTCACCCAGTCCCAGTGCAGCTCCTCCACCATCGTCCTCCCCAAATTCAACGACCGCCCGCCCAAGGGTGCCCTGGTGTGCAGCGCCGACGTCCACGGGCTGGGCTTCGACCTGGCGCAGATGATCACCGAGGAGCAGAGGAGCATTTTCCAGAGCCCCTATCTGAGGGTGCCCCTGCCCTTGCCCGAACGCAAAGGGTACATGCCCCTCACCTGCCCCTCCGACAGCGTCCTCGGCCTGGAAGGGGGCCCGGCTACGGTCGGGGGAAGCAAAAGGATGCTCTCCCCAGCTGGCAGCTTGGAGCTGACGATGGAGACGCAGCAGCAGAAGAGGGTGAAAGAGGAGGAAGTGTCTGAAGCAGAAGAGAAGCTGGAAGTGGTGAAGCCCCCCAGTGCAATAGAGGAAGGGAAAAAGCAGGAGAAATCTCACTTTCTTGCGGAAAGCCAGGACAGGGTCGAGGTTGAAGCGCCACCCAGTTTGTCCACAGAGCAGTCAGAGCCAAAGGAAACCCCGAGCAGTTCGCAGCAGGCTGTGTCCCATTCAGGTTCTCCAAGCTTTGAGGCACTGGAAGAGTATGAGCAGCCAGCTGGCCAACAGTTCCTCAGCAAGGCACCTTTGCAACCCGTGAAGAAAGAAGACTCCAAAGAACAGGTGGAGCAGTCTCCACCAAACCCCCCAAGCACTGCCCCTCCGTCCGAGGGCACCCAGAGTGCAATGAAGTCTCGAGAAGGTACAGACACGAAGAAGGTACTTCAGTTCCCCAGTCTCCACACAACCACTAATGTCAGTTGGTGCTACTTAAACTACATAAAGCCAAATCACATCCAGCAAGTGGATCGTCGCTCCTCGGTTTATGCCAGCTGGTGCATCAGCCTCTACAACCCCAACCTGCCGGGGATATCCACCAAGGCAGCCCTGTCCCTCCTGAGGTCCAAGCAGAAGGTGAGCAAGGAAACCTACACCATGGCCACAGCTCCACGTCCAGAGGCAGGCAGGCTGGTCCCATCCAGCTCCAGGAAGCCCAAAATGACAGAGGTAATGCAATCCTATCTATTTCTCCTCATCCACACGTGGGGAGAGGGGGATGAGGGACGGGCAGTTGCCGTTGTCGGTTTAATAGGGGTTTACTCAGCCCCCTCTGGGGTTGGGAAGTGCTTGTTCTCGGTGAAACTTGTCGAGTGAAGAAGCAAAACCCCACTGTAACCAAAAAACCAGAACAGGCAGGCGAGCTCCAAGGCTCCACGTTTCTGTTCTCCAGTTTCTACTTGCCTTGTAATCAAGAGCTTGTAGGAATCGCCACCTCACCACCAACCGCCCCTGCTCAAGCACAGAAGATTACACCTCATTTGCATTTGTCTTGATATTTCAAATAGCTTTACAACTTCTTTTTTTTTCTTTTTTTTTTTTTTTCCTTTTACATAAATGCTGTTATAATTCCCTCCATTTTGCATGTTCTAAATGAGAAAGGATTACCTTGGGGAAATGGGATTCTGCCTGGCTGTGCATCTGCTCATCTCACACTAATGAACATAGAGAGGCATGCTTAAAAGCATTTAAAAAATATTAAAGGGAGATTTGCAAGTGTATTTAGGCCCCCGAAGAAGTGTGAGGGCACGCAGTGACATTTATAACAGTGCCTCGGGAGGTCAGACGTGGGGTCTTGTGGTGAGGTTCCTTTCTTGAACTGCCCACCTGCTTTCCCAGCTGTCTCAGGGTATTTTAGACCTGGTCTTTGGAGTTTGGAGGAGCCAGGCAAACAGCTCACAGGGGCAGAGCTCCCGATGGCGTTGGCCACGTGGGCAAAGAAGTCTTTAAGACACTTCTGTGAGCTGCCTAATATTATGTATCTCATTTTAAGGCCAGATTTACCCCTCTCGGTTAATGCTGAACCCCACAGATCCCTTTAATCCAGATCATGTTCGTGTAGATTAGCAAACAGAATTGCTCTGAAGATTTCGCCATTTGATATTCATCTCAAGTCAATTTATATTGATGGATTATTCATTTTATTTCTGTATCATGAAATGAACTCTGAATATTAAATTTATCATAATTGCTGCTGCAGCTGCTGCTTATAAATATGTCTTAAAATACACAGTAGAGTTGCTTTGATTCAATAAATCTTTATTTCTATTCAGCATTTCCATCATCCTTCTGCAGAAATCCAAAAGGCAGATTTCTGGGGCCACAGGGGTAGATAATTACCTGAGCAGTGCAATAACCACACTAAGGCTTGACATCTCTGCACTATTTTTCAAAGGATTTGATCTGACTGGTGTTGTGCCACCCTTGATTTCATTCTCTGGTAGAAGTGCCTGTGCTTCTCCGAGCTGTGCTCTTTGACATGGTGCTAAAATGCCCACCGAGGGTGTGTTCAGAGACCTGAGACCCTCAGACCATGAAATGAAAGGTTAAATCCTAGGCAGGAAGGTTCAGCCCTTTGTCATCAAAATACACATTTCATGCATGTATTTGCTCCCAGGGCTCATAAACCTTTTAAAAAAAAAAACCCTCTAATCTGACTGGTGGTGCAAATTGAGGTTTTCTGGGACAAATTGCAAAAGGAAGAGTTTGTCCTGCCAAATTCACCTGGAGAATGGTGGAGCCTAAATCCATCCTGGAGCGTGGTTTGCAGACAGTATGGTAATTGAGGAATTGGACTCATGCCAAGCAGAGAAAGAATTTCTGATCAGTGGGAGTGAAATCCTGAGTTTAGGGTTTAAAATACATGTGGCTGGCACAGATTAGGAAGTGGCGTGGTGGGTGATTAACAGGACGTGTGTGGCAGTAGCATCAATCCGAGGCTGAAAGTTCACTTAACTCTGCTCCAGCTATTTCCCTTCAATATTTACTTCTTTGTGTAACTCTAAGTTGTCAGTCAACACAGCAGAAGATGTCAAAAAGCTCTGATGTTTTGTACAATTATGCATGCAGAAGCTCCCAGCAAGCACTAGTCCTGGATGTGCTGTCTACATACTTGGCTTGGGTTTTAAATTCCCAGTGGGATTTGCTGAGCAGATAATTCTGGAGGGACTGTGGGCTCCAGCTGCATGTAGGGATGGATAAATACACTGTACTGGGCTTGCACACTTTGTAAATTCAATGAGATTGTAAAAGGGGATAGTAGTGACTGTATGATTTTGGCTCTCTGGTGCCTTTCATCTGTCTGTGTTCTGTGCTTTCAAAAGTTGCAATAAATAAACCTCGTGCTACATCTAGAAAGTCAACTGTTTTGTATTCCTCAGTAAAACTCCTGACCTGGGAAGGTTCTCACTGGCAGTGTTATGGCATTGCTCCTATCAGGAGGTTTATTTTGAAGGTGCTCAGTGTGTGTCTCCTGCCACTGATTCCCCCCAGATGTCTCCATGCCCAGAGATGGCAGCTGGAGACCATTCCAGCTGTGCAACTGTTAAATGGTGGCTGGGCACATTTAGGGAGCTGGGACAGCACAGGGACCATTCCCAGGAGGAATCTAGGGAGGGTGTGTGGGTGTGATGTGTGGATGTGGCTGATCTGAACCAGCTGGTCCCAAGGGCAAAGAGCCTCAAGTTTGAGCTCCTGAAACTGCTGGGCAGATTTTAAATGTTTGACCTCAGGGCTGCAAAGCTGCTGGTTTTAGTGAGCCCACCCCTCCTCCTGCTGAGCATCCCAGGGTAGTTCCAGCTGCCTGCTGGAATTTTGGATGTCTCCATTTGAGCTGTTCACTCTGTGGCTTCCCCCAGAACCACGGGAGACAAAGAGGCTCCTCTTGGGTGATTCATCCCCCTCAAGACAAGGGCTCAGGTGGGGCAGGTGAGTCACCCTTGGGAGCTGCCACTCTTGCCAAGGGTGACCAGCTCTGCTTTAGACTCCTGCCAGTTCCTTAGCTGAGTTCAGGCCAAAATCCCTCTAAAAACTCTTGTAAAAACTTTTTATGTGTTATATATGGAGTGAAGATATGGGTAATTCAATTGAACATCAAAAAAAATGGTCTAAAAAGTGACCTGGTTGAAAGCAACCTGCTTTCCTCCTTCAGAGCTCTGGAGACCCCTGTTATTTGTCCTGTTGGGTTTTAGAGAAGGGCAGGATTCCCAACATTTCTTGCTCTCCTTGCTTTGTACAAAGCTAAAGAGGCAGCTCTGATGTTTAGGTCCATCTACGACAACAAAGAACATTCAACATGTAGGTGAGTTGTAAGTGCATGACTTAAACCTTTGGTGTAAACAAGGTTTAGACACAAAAAAAACCCTAAACAAGGTGGCAGCTTGAACAGTGAAGAAGCAGATTTTACCCTGGGAACATGTGGGGAGGTTGAGGATTATTTTCTCCCGTGGGTTTTGTGGCTTTCTCTGTGCTGTGCCCTTGGCAACGGGGTTTCGGTGAGAGGAAATCACCCGAGAGCTCTGCCTGTCGAGTGATTTATGTCAAGCCCAGGTGGCTGAAGTCCAGCTTTGTGTGAGTGTGTGTGTGCATGTGGGGGAAACCCAGGGGTTGAGGTTAAGTGTATGAATTCTACAGATGCCTCCTCTCCAGCCTTTTGCAGATGTGTATGTTGGAGAGAGGATTATCCAAGGACAGAGCAGTGGGTTTGGGAATGGAGGTCCGTGTGGCTCCACCACACAGGGTCACCCCAGCCAAGACACTTCTCTTTATCCCTCAGCTTTCCAGTTGGATAATATGGGAGCCACCGTATGCAGGGGGTGATTTACAAACCCATGGCAGGTCACAGTAAAAATAACAGCCAAAATCCAGAGGCATATCTGCTTGTTAGGAAGGTGTCCCAATTCCTGCCCTTGGCTGTCAGGAGCAGCACCTGCAGGAGTTGCTGGCTCTTTGCTGGGGCTGTTGGGTCTGTCTTAGAGTGATTTTGTATGTAATCATTGATTGTTTTGCTCTTTTGGGGAGATAGGTTCATTTGCCTTCGCTCCTTTCTAATGAAGGTCGAAAAGATATAACTAGAGCTGAGAAGGAAGAGGAGAAAAGAGGAAAATCAGAAGAAGAGGCTCTTGTGACCAAACGAGGGGAGCCAGTCAGGATCAAGATCTTTGAAGGAGGGTAAGTGTCCCATTTATTTCTCTCAGTGTGTTACTGCTGTGTGGGAGTCGCTGGTTACAGTGATGGCAGTGAAGGTGACTTGTGGAGGTGAGCAGAACGCCAGGTGTAGTTGGATTTCAGCCACTGTAAAAGCTTGGCCCTCCAGATCCACAGACACTCCAGACTGCACTACTTCCCTCTTTTTGAGCTGTCTCTAAGTTAGCAATCACCTCCATCTCTTTTCTGAGTGGGTGTTTGAGTAAAGGTGGGTGAAGAGCACAAATTCATCTTGTAGCTGTCTCTGATGTGACAGAGAAGTGTTCTCTGTATCTTAATCTTTCCAGAGCCTTCTCCTGAAAATGATGTTGCTAATGGTTGTTCCCACTGTAAGGAGGATCTGGGGAGATCTTTGCTGATGCCTGGGTTTTGGGTGGGGAACAAAAGAAAGGGTTATATTCATGTGATTTTCATCCCACCCAACCGAAATAGCTCAAACCAGAATGGATGCAAGACCTTAATTTGATGCATATCTTAAATCTCGGCTCCAGGTAATTCAGAGTCTGCCTCAGGAACTCAGCTCTGGTCTAATGCTGCTGTTTATCTTTAAAAAATGCAAAAATCAGGTAATAAGCAGTGTGTTTGTGGGATGCAATTACAGTTCATCCTTCCTGTGTGTTGCAGAGGGGACCAAGGAGACATGAGCAATCTCCAGCAGGATTTATCAGTTCTGCTCTTGCCGTTGGGTGGTCTGGGTTTCTGTGTGTTAGAAAAAGGCTTTAATAGTCAGTGGTTGTGGTTTGCTGCTGTTACCAGCTGACATTCGCTTTCCTTTTAAAATGTTTCATTAGCAGATGATCAAATTGACAAACCGAGAGGGGAAAACGTTGCCTTGGGAAAGGAAAGCTGAGTGTTTGTCCAGGAGAACTCACCTCTCCCCCAGATGTAGGGACTGTGTATCCAAACCCAGCTGAGCTTTAGATCCATCACGCTGGGGGGTGAATGCAAAGAGCCAAAGCAGTGCCAGCCTGTCATGGCTGTGACCTGAAGGGATTTAGGGAGGGGGCCAGGGAATGGCAGGAAAGCAGTGGAATGAGAAATTGGATGTGCTCAGTGTGTTGCCATCACCCTCCTGTGGCAGATGGGACTTGTGGGATGAACTGAGACGGGTTTTACTGCCTTACACCCATGGGAAGCCTCTGTTTCCCTTGACTGGGTTGTCCTGGAGCTGTGGCTGTTCGGGGGGGACTCTTGAATTCCTTCCTGGGTGTGATTAAAGCAGTTCAGCATTCCTATGAATGAAACCCCGCCCTGCCCCTCACAGGGATTGTTTGGGGAGGGCTGGGGGTGCTCAGTGCTGTCCTGACTGTCCCCCCCAGACCCCTGTGCTCTCATGGGAACGTCTGCATCCCTGAGCACAGCCCAGTGAATGCAAAGCCACGTTTTCTGAGTGGCAGACACAAAACAAAGCAGCTTTTCCAATGTGCTTCATGCACAGCAGCACCAGGGACTGTGTCAACACCCTGAACGTGTGCTGGGTTTGATTTGAAAGTTCCTGTAGCTGGGAATGGGAGGTTTTATTTCTTTAGAGCTCTTGCCTTTCTCTCTGCCACTCTCAGCATTGCTTTTCCCTCTCTACACTCTTCTGGCTTCCCCAGTCCCACCACTGCCTTTCCCCCTTTGCAACGTTCCTTACAGCACTTCCAGGACCAGCTCTGCTGCTTCCCCTGCTGCTGTCCAGTCTTCCAGCCAGAATTGTGTTTCCTGGCTTTCAGGAGAGACCAAGAAAAGCCCAATTTCATCCTTTCACCATCCCCACTGCCCACTTTTAAGGAATGAACCAGTGAACCTGCCAGAGGCTCTTGGAGCACTGGGGGCTTGGCTTCCCTTCTCTCTCTTGAAGATGTCTCCACCTTACATGTGGAAGTGGATGGTTCCTTTGCCTCTGTTTCCCCACTGGGACGTGTTTTGGACACAGCAGCTTGCAGGTTCCTTGAGCCTTGACCCAGGCTCATGCCTGGCTTTAGGATCAGGGCTCAGTAAAGCCAGGCATGGGCTGTGCTGGGCTCAGCTTCTTCCCTGCCCGCTCTTTCCATGAAAGATGTTGTTCAGTCCCTGTGGGGCCAGCTCAGGGTGTGGAGTTTGGCCAGTGGGGCTGTCAGGAGGACCTGGGTGGTGGAGAAGTCCAGCTCACCCTGAGTTACCAGCCAGGTCAGAACCTGCCTCCCTTGGCCTCCTGAGATGAAGAGAAAACCCTTTGTGGTGTCTCTGGTTTCTTGGGGACCTCAGAGGGGACATGTGTGGTTCTGCCTTGACTTCTCCACAGTTACTGGAGTTGGCATCCACTGAATTTTCTGTTGGACTCCTGTTCAAAGAACAAATCCCTCTTAGAGAGCAAAGTCTGGAGATCACTCCACATGTAATTCCAGGAGTGGCTTTTTGCTCGCAGTCATGACATTTTGTAAGACTGAGCATATCACCATCGCAAGCAGCACGACCTCTGTCCCATGAGCACAGCCCAGCACTTGACTGAGGGAGATTGGAGTCATTTAACACCCTCCAGACAGGCTGGACACTGCACAGTCTCCTCAGGTTGTGTATTGGGAGAACCACGAGCAGCCAGGTCAATGTTTGTGCTCCTGAAGGAGCCAATAAAAATAGCCAGTGGCCTGGTCCTGAGGGATATCGTGGTGCTTTTGAGCAGGGAAAATGATCTTTGAAGGTCAAGCTGGCCAGCTCTGCTTCAGGAGAAGTGCTGTGACTCCTTGGTGGCTCGGTGTCACCTTCTTCAGCTCGCTCTGGTGCTCTGGAGACACCAGGCCCATTCCGAAATCTGACATCATGAAACCAGAGATTGGTATCGACCCGATCTGGGAGTGAGGTCTGTGATGGTATCGTGGTCCTGCCAGGGGGATGGGGCCTGTTTACTCTGCACTGCCATTACCACGAGGAAATCTGAGAGCTCTGGGGTGGGCTCAGTCAATAGATGGTCTTTTATTTCCCAGCCCAGCTCTCTGTGCTTTCAGGGGCCCAGCAGGTGGGTTGTTGCTCTGGTTGGTTACAACTGGTAGGGAAAGCAGTACCAAGATGTGGAAGGTTAAAGACCACTAACCTGAACTGGCACTCCCAAACCAGTGACACTGTGTCAAAAGCAAGGCTCTCTTTGCAAAACTCTTTCCGTTTGTTTGGTTTTTTTTTTTCCCCCTACTTTAGGGAAAAACACTTATGGCTGTAACCTTCTGATTGCAGACATGAGCATCCTTAAAAATACCTCCCCTTCACACCATGCCATGTGTACAAATCCACCCAGAGCAAGGAGGATTTTTTAACTTTAGGAGAGGTGTTTGCAGTGCTGCTGTGACCCAGAGGCTGCTGCAGTTGTTGATTTGGTGTGACTCCTTGAGGAATCCAATCCCTTCCCTCTTTGTCCTCACCAACAGAGTTGTAGGTTCCCCAGCCATGGGATCTTCTGACCTGGGATTTCTGGACAAAGCCCCTTCTGTGCCATTCCAGTGGCTGGGGGGTGCAGGAACTTTGACCATGGCATTGCCTGGAGAGCTCCAGGGCTGGAGGTGGATGCTGCCATGGGGCTTTTCCCTTTGTCTCCCTGCTTATGGGGTTTTCAGCAGGCAGGAAGGTGACAGAGCCTCTCAGCCTGTCCAGCAAGAGATTTTTCCCTGCTCCAAGGAAAATGGAGAAGCCTTGGGGTTTTTTTATGGGATCTGAGCATGACTGGTAAATAGGGGATGCATAAGGAAAAAGAAACCACTTTGACTGAAAAGGTGAAAGCCTCCTCCCCTCCCCCAGCTCCTCTCCCAGTGCCTGCCCTCAGGACTGCCTGGGATCTGTGGTGGCATCTCCAGGGTGATCTCACTCCATGTCTATGACCAGCCACAGAAAGTGCAGCTCCAACCTCTTGGAAAATCCCTGGCACAGCCCTGGAAGGGTTTTATTACCCCAGAGAAACCTCTCTGTTAAACAAGCAAGAGTTTCTCGGTGTAACTGCAAAGCCCCGCGCTGGACCCGCTCTCCGAGGGGATTTCCTTTGCTGCTCAGTGAGTTCTAAGAATTCTCCATGTTTATTTTGACAGGAGTCAGTTAACCCAAAGTTAATCCCAAAGACACTGATGGGAGCACACACAGTGCCAGGGAGGGAGGAATCTGAGCAAAGCTCTGTCTGCAGCACATCCAGCTGCACCAGGGACAGCAAAGGGCCGGTGCTCCTTCATTTGGCACAGAATCCCAGAATATCCTGAATTGAAAGGGACCCACAAGGATCACTGAGTCCAACTCCTGGACAAGACAAGCCCAAAATTTACCTGCAAACCTGCTTGAGACCTGGCAGTGAACTCACTTCACAGCCCAGCCTGAAATGGGAGCACATCCCTGTGGGGTTAAATAGGAATCACAGAATCCCAGAGTGGGTTGGGTTGGAAGGGACCTCAAAGCCCATCTCATTCCACCCCCTGCCATGGGCAGGGACACCTTCCACCAGCACAGGTTCCTCCAAGCCCCATCCAACCTGGCCTTGGACACTCCCAGGGATCCAGGGACAGCCACAGCTTCTCTGCCCAACCTGTGCCAGGGCCTGCCCACCCTCACAGCCAACAATTCCTTCCCACTATCCCATCTATCCCTGCCCTCTGGCACTGGGAAGCCATTCCCTGTGTCCTGTCCCTCCGTCCCTTGTCCCCAGTCCCTCTCCAGCTCTCCTGGAGCCCCTTTAGGCCCTGCAAGGGGCTCTCAGGTCTCCCTGGAGCCTTCTCTTCTCCAGGTCAACACCCCCAGCCTGTCAAATTTAACTCCATTCCTGGATATAAGCAAAGAATTCCTGTAATTTGCAGTTTTCAGTTTCCCAGTTTTCCTGGGACTGTTTGCAGGGAGATGTTCAAACTTTCCCACTGGGGCTGGTGGTTCCTGACTGACCACTTGGTGTTCATTTGAATGTTTTTGGGGTTGTGTTGCTGGATTTTCCCTGCCTTTGGAAGTGCTGAACAGACATTGCTGGGCTCCATCTGAGCAGC